TAAAATCGAGAAAAGTTTATTTCAAAAGTTGCCAAAAGTTGCCGGTTTTTGCAATAACAACACTTTGCAATTAAGAAATGAAAAATTTTTTGATAATGGTACCAATGGGGAGTCAGAACCTACCAGATGCAAAAGGTTTCGTTCCGATCGGTCCATCCAGCTAGGCGTGATCGGCGAACATACATAGAATAAAAAAAAAAAAGTATACTGATCGAACTGAGTAACCTCCTCCTTTTCCAAGTTGGTTAAAAAGGCAATGGCGTATGTGGTGTCAAGGGCGCCACAGTACCCCCTTACCAGTAATTGGAACAATTACGAAATACAAATGTAACAACAAAACACAATAAGAAACTCGTAATACAATAACGTCGCATGTCCGTACCCGATTAAGAATACATCATAAAAATAATAACAAATTACGTTAACAATACCAAAGTGCTCACGCTAAAATATATATGAACTTCACAAGACACAAAGTCAATCTAATGGAACGCAAAAAAAAACGTATAAAATGCAATACAACGCATAATATATAATAAGAAAAACACACACATAAACTAATGAACTATTTGTAATCGATCGGGAAACCGAACTCGACGACCCGAACGCGTGGCGCGCGTTTGCACATTTGGTGCATTATTACAACTATCTTTCTGAATGGCCGGTTCGTCTTGCGATGTTATTAACGAATGAGGTCTTTCCTTTGCCATCAAATACGCAGGTTTTAATCTCTCAATAGATACAACTACTTCTTTACCCTTAACATTTAGCATAAAAGTTTTATCACCCCGACGCACTACGGCAAACGGTCCTTCATAGGCTGGTTGTAAAATGGTCTTTGCAGCGTCGGTTCGAACAGAAACATGTGTTGATGAATTTAAATCTTTAAAAATGAAAGGACGGTTAACGGAGTGATGCGATGCGTTAATTGGATTAAATTTTGAAAAATGGCTACGTAAATTATTAATGAAATCAGAAACATCTTCTCTAGCTTCAGCTCCGCGCGATACTAAAAATTCACCGGGTAATCTTAACGATTCCCCGTAAACTAATTCGGCGGATGTTGCGCCGAGATCCTCCTTCCATGCAGAACATATGCCGAGCAAAACCGATGGTAAAATTTCAGTCCATTTAGCCGATTCATAACATCTTATAGCAGTCTTAAGCTGACGGTGAAAACGCTCCACCATACCATTAGCTGCTGGATGATATGCCGTAGTACGCAGGTGCTTACAACCAATTAAATAATTAAGTGCGTAAAATAATTTTGATTCAAACTGCCTTCCCTGGTCGGTAGTATTACGCAAAGGGGTCCCAAACCGCGCTATCCAACAGTCATAAAAGGTTCGAGCCACGCTCTGGGCCACTTGATCGACCATGGGAAAGGCTTCCGGCCACCGAGTATACCTGTCTACGCAGGTTAGACAATACCTATAACCTTCCGACACCGGCATAATCACTATATCTAAATGAACATGCTCAAAACGGACGGAAGGTTTAACAAAACTAGTTAAAGGCGCGGTTACATGTCGAGAAATTTTCGCCTTTTGACACGGTATACAACTACGTGTCCATTCACGGACATCCTTTTTAATCGACGGCCATACATATCGCTGCGATATGGGCTTGACCGTCGCGTTAATACCTGGATGGAATAACCCGTGCAACAAATTAAAAATAGGTCGTCACAAAAAACATCGGAAGACGTACCAGGCAATAAGATTTTACGAAGTTGTAAATTAGACTCGCCCTTCAACAATTGTTGAAGTTCCTCATCCTGGGCCTGCGATTCCGCTAGTTTTTCAAAATTAATCGGGTGGTCGATCGACTCCACTCAAGACAGCGCATCGGCAACAACATTATCCTTGCCCGAAACATGTTTAATATTAGTAGAAAATTGTGAAATAAAATCGAGATATCTGAATTGACGTGGTGAACATTTATCTAGTTTCTGTTTAAATGCAAAAGTGATTGGCTTATGATCAGTAAAAATGGTGAAATGCCTGCCTTCTACCACGTGCTTGAAATGTTTGATAGTTAAATAAATGGAAAGTAATTCCCGGTCGTAAGCGGAGTACTTCCTTTCGGCAGATCCTAACTTTTTTGAGAAAAATGCAAGGGTTGCCAATCATTACCGATGCGCTGCTGCAAAACAGACCCCACAGTAAAATCGGAGGCATCGCAGGGAACCGCTAACGGAGCGTTGACTTCAGGATGTGCGAGCAAGGTTGCTTTGGCTAGGCTATTCTTACAATTCTCAAATGCCTGACCCGCTTCCGATGTCCAAGCTATTGGTACTTTACCTTTTAAATTACCCGCTAACAGATCGTTTAAAGGGGCTTGAAAATCCGCGGCATTGGGAATAAAACGGCGATAAAAATTTAACATTCCCAGAAATTGCCTTAAATCTTTCGCTGTTTTCGGAAGGGGATACGATTTAATAACCTCTGGCTGACCCTCTTCGAAAACAGATCTCAACTCACTTCTCCGTAAAAAGTAGAAGAAAATTGTATATGTAATAATTATTGCTAAATTGCAATAAACAAAAAATTCCAAAAACACGTATCCCCTATTTTGATCCATATTTTTAGTATACAAAGCTGCAAAACAATCGAACTGCATTTAGGGTGAAAAATTTGAAAAAGTGCATTTTTTTAATATATTATTTAAATAAATAATTTCTCCCGAAATTTTTGACACTAACTAAATTCCTGACTAAAAACTACACAATTTAAAAAAAAATTCACCTTCCTACACCCTCTAGTTTCCGAGATATTAAGGAAAATGTGTTTTCAACCCCGAACTTTGAGGGCTATTTTCACCCCCTCAACATGGATGTCCGCAGATATAAAAAAATACGTGTCAAATGATTTTTAAAAAGCTACCACATATGTCAATTTCATTAAAATCGGCGTGTAACACCTTGGTGATGTCCCTTGTTAGTGACTGGCAGCCTCAAAAACGACCGGTCAATAAAGTGTTAAAAAGGGAATCGCGAACCACGGAAATCTCCTGCCTCAAAGACAGCGCTAATTGTGCCATCTTTACATTAAGCAACGACTCCAAACTCTGATCAATTACTGGCACTTGTCGGAGCGTATGGTTTGATGCTGCGGCTTCCGCTACCTGAACACGCGGTATCATAGTATCAGCTATGGCATCGGCTAGTTCTGCCACTTTATCCAATGCCGTATCCCTCTGAGTGGCTAAAATCGCCTGTATATTAGCCGGTAATCGATCCATCCACAGGGTCCGCAATACTTCGTCCGACATAGACGTACCTGCCAGCATACGCAGGTGTCTCAAAAACTGGGACGGCTTTTCTGAAAACAGAAAAGGCAATGACGTATGCCCTTGGCGCCACATAATAATAGTGTTGGTTAACAGTCTGACTACTAGGAAACCACTCAATCATTACAAATCCGTTAATGTGGAATTTTGATTTTGACATGCGTGGTTTTTTGGATTTTGGAGATTCTGTAGACTTCCATTGCATCGATTGGCGCTTACTTTCTGAGTCATAGGTAAAAATCCATGTCTCATCACATGTTACAACATATTTCAACAAATTTGACAAGAAGCTTGATGGTTATTCGCTGTTCGGTTTTTACATTAGACATTTTTCCGGCAGAATGCAGTTGCACGTGTTTACTCAATGATGTAATACTCCCAAATGACATGACGGATTAAATCGAAATTGGCAGCATGGATAGAGGATGTGTGTGGAATGATGCCACCAAAACAATTTCTGCCAACTCCATTGTTTTTTCAAACTACACACCTATTCTCACTTTTTTTGTGTCGCACCTCATATACCAAAATACAGTTTTTAGTACATTTTATGAATTTTTCTGTTATTAATAATTTTATAATTTTTATTCTTGTAAAAGCTTACATTCTCTTCGGTTTACTACTTCTTTAGACTTTTTCAACCAATAGAAGAAGTTTCTTTGTTGAGAAAGGAACCAATCATATCTTCAAACCTGCAGCTCCGATCGTAGATCCTCGTTATTGGTTTCGGCAGCCAAAGTTAAACATTAAAGTAGCACTTACAAAGTAGCACTTACCGCAACAATAAGGCCGTTTTTTGTGACCTATTACTAGAATCGAGGCGTTTTTATTGAAAATCAGTAAATTTCTAAGGGTTATATCTGGAAAACTAATAAAAATCGGTTAAATATATTAAATCTTAATGAATTCCTCTTGAAAAGCACTATCGCCTGATTAAAAAAAAAATATATAGTTCCATTTAAAAAACGAAACTTCGCCATCATATTTTTTACATTAATAACATTAAACAAATTCTGATTTCGCCAAAACATAGAGCCCCTTTTATCCTACAATGTGGATATAAACACTTTTTCGTGTCATCGATAGTTTATGAAGTATTGTGCTGTCACACTTAAGCGTGGACACCCTCTAAAATTCCAGGCGTTTCGCTTATAAGTATTGAGAACCTTACTCTAATAAGTTAGTAGAGGTAAAAAGTTAGAACACATTAGTATTCTAAATAATTGACCATGCTTTTGATCTTTACCGGCTGCCACATCACAACGTCTTTCTTTTTCATTCACTATCCTCTTCTGCATCACAAACTTTTATTGTCAATCAAACCAGTATATAGTCTAATTGTAAGTTATATCATGTTTGGTTTCATTTTTATCAGGAATATGTCACAAATATATGTTAGGAAAATTTCAATAAAAAAAAGACAAAAATAAGAAACTTTTACATTTTCCTTGATATTGTTTCGTGGATATACTCAAATCAGTTTTTTTCCAGATCTTCCCCCCAGTAGCAGGAATAACATTTTTGCACATATTATATAGGTCATTTTCGCAGATATCGAATGTTTACTATATTACACAAAATTTCAGAGTTTAGAGCTTCATACACTCACTCATAATCAACAATTACGATATTTTAAAGATTACGATGTTTTAAAAATAATGAAATTGCGTTTTTTTTTATTTAATAAGTATATTTACAAATACAATATACAACAAATTGACCAAAATTAAAATATTATTTATAACTGAAATCAACATAGTAATAAACATTTCATCATAAACATAAAAGTAGTGCATACGCGCGATCAAATATTCCAAATAATATTAAAGTTAACAATACCTGATACTGTAAAATATTTTTTACATATGTTCAACATAATAGACATAAATAATTTAAGTATAACTCGCATGCGACACTTGTTGCTTAACGTAGTAGCGTTACTTTAAAGCAGAAAATACATAAGTAGGTATTAATACACAAACAGTTCGGGAAAATGTATTTCGTAAGCTGGCGCTTGACTTGGTTTGGTATCTGTTGGTGGACCACTTCCTTGAGTTGCATTTCGTGGATCGACAGATAACGTATTAAATATTTCTGACAGTTTGCTTTGTAAAACGTCATGCTACAAAATTATTTATTATTAGTTGCATGTATATAATACATAATATATAAAATGACAGAGCGGATATTTATGCAAATATGTTTTATGAAATATTTTCTCTCTTGAAATTATTTGAAGTAATCTTATTAATTTTGTATATTTTATACAATCTGAATAATTTATTTGTTTAGTATATATTGTATAAATAATGTATACACTTTTTTAATACTGCGGTATCTTACAAGTACATAAAAATCCGTAGACTGTACGAAGTAATTCTGGATAAAGTTCTTAACTTCGAGAGGTGATTTTGCATCATATTTACATTAAAAAATCTATAGGTACCCAGATGTGATGCACAACTGCGTTATAATTATTTCACTTTTCGTGCTTTCCTTATAATTCATGACTTTTCTTTACAAAAGTAATCTTAAATCATAAACTGTTGGAACTAGATGAAATCTAATTATGGCGTTCAAAATAACATTAAATCTATGAAGCAGGCATTTTTTTATTCAACATGGCTATTACATGCAAATGTTTTACCTACCTAAATGAACAAAATTTCAAAGTTTTAAAAATATTCCAATGTACATACGAGATAAACTACAGGAAAATTACATGTTTTAATAAACCTTCTAACGATGGAACAACTTTCCCCTTCTCTAACTTCAACAAATAATTTAAATTATGATTATATTTGTAAGAAAAAGTTATGAGCTATCAAAAAAAAGACAAAAATGGAATAATTCTAACGCAATTGAGAATAGGTCTGAATCCAAAAATTTATAGATATTTTTTCTGTGAATGGATTATACAATCATCTTTTGAAATTCGCAAATTTAATTCAGAATTACCCTTTATATAAGGAAATCCATTTTAATCTATAAACACAATTATCTCATAAATTATACTTTTTAATGGAATTTGATATCTTCCTGATGCATCGATTGAATGGGATATTCTGTACACAAAAGCATGGATATTATTTAAAACAGGAGGTACTTCAACCAATTCAGTTGCTCTAAAAACTATTACTAAGGTCATTATTTTAAGTAACTTATCTTATGAATATTGTAATGAGGCATATTTTCATTTAGTTGTTTAACTTTTTTGATATGCCTCGTTACGCGGATCCCCCCGAATTGCCGGCCCCACTCCTCCGCCTAAGCGGCCCCCTCGCCGCTGGGGCAGGAATGAGTGAGGAAGAATGCTTTTTCTTTTTAATTGTGCGCATATTTTTTGTATATATATCTACTTGCAA